AGTTTGGTCTTGGGACGAGGTTTCTTTCTAGGCCCTGATTGCCTTGACCCAAACGCTACTCTGAAGTCATTTGAATGTTCAGGGTCACTTGCTTGTTACTTACGGGAAATTTGTTAACATATCTGAGCCTCAGTTGTCTCATTTACAAAGTGGAAATGATAAAAACTTGTCTCACACTCGGAAGAGAAGGTCTCCGAAATGTTTAACAGCGGTCACCTCTATGCAGTGGGATTCTAAAGGGGCAAGTCTTTCACTTTTTACACTTTGTACTCTTCTGAGTTGTTTGAACTTATTTTATTTCTAACATGCCTTACTTTCATAATTTTTAAGATTAAAAATAAGGTAAGAAAATATCATAACCAATTTGCAGGTAAAAATGATAGGTCGATTATGGGAATCGAATTATACTCTTTCAGGACATCTAACTGAAACTATCCTATGGCGATTTTTACAAATAAAAATGATAAAGACCCAGAAGAATAGAATGAATAGAAGAAGAAACAATAACCACAAAATTTTGTAAACTGGAATGCAAATGGATGAGTGGCATCTGATTGATGAGACCCAGGAAAGCCACATCTAAGCTGGCGGTGGAGAAAGACAAGGACAATCCTGATAGTGGAGAATCCTCAAATCTCAAGAATTGGCAGCAACAGAAACCTCTGGGAATGAGAGTAGATGTAGGACTAAGAAAAAGATTTAAATATACAAATTACCCTCAAATTGGATCAGTCAAATGAAGCCCAAATTTGACAATTGCCATATATGCAATTGGAACTTTCATTTAGCTTTCTAGTCCTCCACTCTTCAGTAGTCAAGGGAAGTCCCCCCACAGTCAAGCAAATCCCTAAACATTAAAGACATCGAAACAAACAGATCAAAGGCACATAGAAGGAAATAGAGGGAGAGATATTCGAAACACATAACTTGAATATTTTCAGATAGATGAGAAGAGGCTGCATCTGTGACACAACACCATGCTTCTAAAAGAGAACAAAGAAGAACTCTTGGAATTTAAAAAAATATGATATCAGAAATGAAAATCTCAGTAGAATGTTTGGAAGATAAAATTAAGAAAATATTTTAAAAGTTCAAAAAGGGAAAGAGATGGAAGATAGAAAATCGAAAAGTCCAGTATAAGAGGTCCAGTGAAAGGAATTTCATAAAGATAAAATAGTGGGGGAGAAGTTATACATGAAAGAACTGAAAGGATTTCTCCAGAACTGAAATGTCTGAGTTTGAAGACTGAGAGGGTCTTCTGAGTACCCACCAAGATAGATGGAGATAGACTGTTACCTAAGGACATCATCAGGAAATTTCAGAATCTCTGGAGCTAAAACAGGACCCTGCAAATCTAGCATTCTATATCGAGTCAAAGTAGTAAGAGAATAAAGAAAGAAATTTTTAGATATGCAAGTTCTCAAAAACTGAAATATATACCCTGTTTCAGGAAGCTACAGGTAAATGGGCTTCCTCATGATAAGGGAGCTAAGCAAGAACAATGAAAGCAGGGGGTCTTGGGGAAGAGAATGCCAACATAGAAAAGGGGCAGGATTCCCTAGGATGCAAGTGGAAGGAGATCTGCAAAGGACAACTGGGCAGTATGCATAGAAGGCAACAAGTCCAGATTAGAGCTTCCAGAAGTTTCCAGGTGATGCTACTTTAAAATGAAGTGATATGAGTGAACATATTGAGAGGAGATTTAGAGAACTAGAGGAGAGGAGAGTTAGAGATTTAGTGCTAAGTGCATTGAAAATTAGCAACCAAGCAAAGCAAAACAAAAAAGGCAATTAGTAACTTCAGGGAATATAAAAAGTTGTACTGGAAGGTAATGTTAATCATGTTGTGTTATGTGTCTCACCTATAAATAGTATTTAGATAATCATAATGTAAATACTGAATATGAATTACCTTAAAATTACAATAAAAGTACATTGGGAGCCTGAGGAAGTGTTTGGGTAGGGGAACAAACGTGGTGATGGTGGTGGTGATGGGGCAGGGAGATGAAAGACCTAAACCCTCATCTTTATTGAGAAGTTCATAGATGATGCCCAAAATTTAAATATTAACACTAATATGAATTTATTGTGAGATATTAGAAATATGGAAATAAATACTAGAATCATCGGCTTAAAGAGATGGAAGTGGTTGCTTCTGTGGGAGGGGAACTAGGGGGAGTGGGACTGGGGATTGCCACTTGTCTTAACCTACTACATGGAACTATAATAGATGATTATTTGAGAAAGAAAAACTTTAATCAGAATTCTGAAGCTTGAATGCTTCTTAAGTGATCATTTGGGTATTATGAGTATAATGCTGCAGTCAAGTTCCCAGGCTGTTTCCTCTCTTCAGTCTCTGATTCTGAATAAATTTCTATTAAATAAGAACAATTTAAAAAGTTAAGCCTAGCACTCAGAATTGATAGGAATATTTTCAGTGAAATAATGTATATCAAAGCTCGTCACATCTTGCTTGGCAAATGTGTGTTCGCAACAAATAGCAGTCCTTCCCTTAGCCATCAGTCCAGCAACAGCCTTTTGTCCTGAGGATGGAAAGTGACTTGATTAGAACTTCTGCTACACTTGGCATCTGTAGACAAATCAGCCCTGACATCTAAGTTCTTCTTTTTAACCTATGTTGGAATGGCTAAAAAATATATAGGCTGATGTCACTGGTGATTGATTTTAGTGGAATCAAATGTGTAGACTCCAGAAGAAATAGAAAATCTGAATAGATGGATAACAAAGCCATTGTCTTAGTAATCAGAAAACTTCCTGAGAAGAAAAGCCCAGGACCAGCTGGCCCCACTGGTGAATTCTACAAAAGGTTTAAAGAATTAACACTTATTCTTCACAAACTCTTCCAAAAATAGAAGAGGTAAGTGTTGGTGAGGATGTCGAGAAATTGGAACTCTCATCCATTGCTGTTGGGAAGGTAAAATGATACACTTCCTTTGGAAAACAGTTTGGCAGGTCCTTAAAAGTTAAACATAGAGTTGCCATCTGACCCAGCAATTTTGCTCCTAAGTATATACCCATAAGAATTGCAAATGTGACCACAGAAAACCTTGTACGTGAATGTTTATATCAGCATTATTCAAAACACGCCCCCACCAATGGAAAGAACCCAAATATCCATCAACCGATAAATCCATAAAGAAAGAGTGGTACATCCAGACAGTGAATACTGTTCAGCCATAAAAAAAACCAAAGTACTGATACCCGCTATAACATAGATGAACCTTGAAAGCGTGCTAAGTGTAAGAAGACATTCACAAAAGGCCACAGATTGGATGATTCCAGTTATATGAAATGTCTAAAACAGACAAATCCATAGAGGCAAAAAATCAATTATAGTTTTTTAAGGGAGGACTGGGAGAATGGCTGCTAATAGGCATGGGGTTTCTTTTTGGGGTGATTGATATATTTTGGAATCAGATAGCAGTGATGACTGCAAAACTTTGTGAATATATGAAAAACTCCTGAATTGTCCACTTTAAGAGGGTGAATTTTATGATATGTGTCTCATATCTCATAGTTTTTACTTAAGCAATGTAGGTGGAGGAAAAGTGACCCACAGAACCGTGTCTGTTCCTGGAGAAGTCACCGACGTTCTCTGGCTCCCGTGCTTTCTTCAGTTACTATTTTAAACAGGTTCCGCCACTGAAAGGACAGTTTGCCCTCCCTATCTTTTGTGGGAAAATCTCTGTGTCCTGTGTTTTGGTATATGAGTTGGGGATGGGGCCATAGACCTACTCGCTTTTTATTCACAAGATGCCATGATTATTTACAAGCCTCCTGAGTGTAGCTCCTCCCATGATCATCTGGGCTGTATTGGACTGCGTGGAATGAATCAGATAGACCTGTACATGATGGGACCTTGGACAAGTTAGTTCACCTTTTTTGAACCTTAATTTCCTTTATAAGCTCTACTGCTCGGCATTGTGAAGACTAAACGGGAGAATGGCTTTTAAATGTCCAGCATGCTACCTGCCCTGATGTGGGCTTCAATTAATGTTAGTTTCCTCTTTCCATCTTTCCCTCTGGTAAAAGCACATTCCTTCCAGGTGAGAGGTCACTCAGCTCTGTCCTGGCTTCCTACCTAGCAACAGATGGCCTCTAGAAATAAAGCATGGGTTAAGTATTTGTTTTAATCTGTGACCCTGCTGTGCCTCTTCTAGTACCTAGCACACTGTAGGTGCTCAGCAAGTTTGGATTCCCTTTCAACATGGATTTCCCAGCACGCTGCTGACCAGATTGCGGAGTGTCAGCATTAGTCGGTGACAAAGCAGCATGCTTAGTGTTCCTTTGTAGGCTGTGCGACTTCCAGTTGTGCTGAGAGGCAGGGAACTTAATTAAATTTCATACTTGAGAGTGATGGCTGAGTCCCGCATCCTCCCTAAAGCTTTTCAACCCTTGCTTTCCAGCTAACCTTGCAGGAGTTTTTCCTCATCTCTAGCATCATCTTGTAATATGCAATAGTAAATGCTTAAAAAATACCAAAGAACTCACTATTCACAGAGGCAGTCCCAGGTTCCTATTGCCTTAGACATGTTTTACTTATTAGTAGGCTGTCTGAATGCACTGAAGATTAATCTTTTAAAGGCATATATTTAGTTCACTACTGTGTTCCTTCTTCCTCCTTTAAAAAAAATTGAACGAGTAGTTAATGACTGTGGAAAATATTGGGGAGAAGAAACGGCACCCAGCATTCAGGCCCATTTGAAGGGTCATCCTCTGAGCAGTAGCTCCCAGAGCTTCTGACTGTACCAGTGGGCACTGCGCTATGTGGAGGTGGAATGATTCAAGGTTATGTTTGAGGAAGTCGTAACTTTGAGACAAATGCAAAAGAAAATACTCTCTTATGTTTTTTTGTTTTTTTTCTTTCCGGGAAATAGATTGGCCACATGAAACAAAACACCGCGTCTTTCATTCTCAGCTCTGAGCAAAGCAAATTAAAACTATAGACATCTTATTTTGTGCCTTCTCTCCCATGTCTAGGAACGGAAAAAGAAATTTGAAAAGGATGGTGAGAGGTTTTATTCTTTGCTGGATCGGCATTTACATCTGTCCTCCAAAAAGAAAGAATCTCAGTTACAAGAGGTATGTTCAGACAGCCTGTCCCCACCTTCCATTGCCAGCTATACCTTGGTAGCAATGGCGGTTTCCTATTGCAAGGCTGTGCTCATACCCTGCCTCAGCCGGGAACCATGTATGATAGTAGTGCTTGCAGTTAAAACCATGACCTTGGACGCAGGAGCCGTGAGCTCTCAAACCAGCTGCTCCACTAATTCACGGTGTGACTTTGGATAGGGTATTCCTTCCTTGGTCTGAGTTCTGCTGTCTGTACTCAGTGATCTCCAGACTCCTTTCAGGCCTGTTTCTGACTCCAGATTCGACATGAGGATAGAGTTAAGCTAGTGTTTTTGGTAGATGAGGAACAGATCTCCCACTTTTTTCCTCTGAGGTATTCCCAATATTAGCTATTTTTTTTCTTGGTCCTGCACTGGGACTACAGCTTACATGGAATTGCATTGAGTTCAGTTCCAAGAAGCCACTATCCGGTGAGTGCCTGTCATGTGCCAGGCCCTATGCTGGCATGACTATAAAGATGCCCTCCTGCATCTGTGTTCATCAGGGATATCGGCCTCTACTTTTCTTTTTTTGTAATGTCTTTTATCTGGCTTTAGAATCAGGGTAATGCTGGCCTCATAAAATGAGCCTGGGAGCCTTCTTCCTCTTGGATTTTTTTTGGAATGGTTTTTTTGGAATGGATGTGTAGGTGTTAATTCTTTGAATGTTTGGTAAAATTCACCTGTGAAGCCATCTGGACCAGGACTTTTGTTTATTGGGAGGTTTTTGATCACTGATTCGATTTCGTTAGCAGTTGTCGATCTGTTCCGATTTTCTGTTTATTTTTGACTCAATCTTGAAAGATTGTATGTTTCTAGGAATTGGTCCATTTCTTCCAGGTTGTCCAATTTGTGGCGTATAACTGTTCCTAATATTTTCTTATAATCCTTTGTATTTCTGTGGTGTGAGTTATCACTTCTCTGCTTTCGTTTCTGATTTTATTTATTCAGGCCCTCTCTCTCTTTTTCTTGACGAGCCTGGTTAAAGGTTTATTAATTTTGTTTATCATTTCAAAGCACCAGCTCTTGGTTTCATTGCTCTTTTCTATTGTTTTTTAAGATTCTATTTCATTTATTTCTGCTCTGGTCTTTATTATTGTCTTGCTTCTACTCACAGTGGGCTTTGTTTCTTCTGCTTTATTCTAGTTCCTTTATGTATAAGGTTAGATTGTTTGACATTTTTCTTGTTTCTTGAGGTAGGGCTGTATTGCTATGTATTTCCCATTTAGAACTGCTTTGGCTGTGTCCCATAGATTTTGGGTTGCTGTGTGTTCATTTTCATTTGTCTTAAGGTATATTTTGGTTACTTCCTTATGGGGTTTCCCTTGTATGTGGCTTGTTCTATTCTTGCTGCCTTTCTAATGGTCTCTTTATGCTTAACTTTTGGCATGCAATTACAGTCTGTCTTGGCGTGGGCCTCTTTGGGTTCATCTTGTTTGGAACTCTTTGTGCTTTTTGGATGTGGATGTCTGTTTCCTTCCCCAAACTAGGAAGGTTTTCTGCCATAATTTCTTCAAATATTCTTTCTGTCCCTTTCTCTCTTCTCTTTCTGGAGTCCCTATAATATGAATGTTAGGGTGCTTGATGATACCCTAGAGCTCTCTTATACTATCGTGATTTTTAAAAATTTATTTTCTCCTTTTGTTTGTGATTGGATGATTTCTACTATTTTGTCTTCCACACTGCTAATCCATTCTTCTGTATTAACTAAACTGCTGTCAATTCCTTCTCATGTATGCTTCACTTGAATTATTGTATACTTCATCTCTGATTGGTTCTGTATTACATTTTCTATCTTTCTTTGTTTAAGTATTATTTGAGTTCCTCTATTTTATTCTCAGGTTTATTGAGCATCCTGATGACGATTTCTTTGAATTCTTTGTATGGCAAATTACATATCTCCATTTTTTAGGGTTTTTCTGTGGAGTTTTTTCTTGTTCGTTCATTTGTGACATATTCTTCTGTTTCCCCATTTTGTTTGACTTGTATGTATTTGTTTCTTTGAATTGTACAGAATTGTTATCTCTCAGTCTTGAAAAAGTGGTATCTGCGTAGACTGTGTGTCGAATAGTTCGGCAGGCCTGTTGTAGTGGGGGTGGGCATTTGCAATGACTGTGTGTCACCTGGCCTGAAGGAGTGGGTTCCCCATGGGCCAGTCAGGTGTGTGTGTGTGCTTCCTTGTCTTTCTAATTTGAGTGGGCTTGCCTGGTGTAGAACGGGCTGCTCCATGTACCTGGCATGCCCTGTTGCTTTAATTATCGGTTATGAGAGCACTGTCTGGGTCGGGCTGCTCTGCATGATTGCTTGCTTATATATCCACCCTCTGCTAGCCCTGCCCTTTCTCCAGGTAGGGCAGCCTTGTGTGTGCACACAGCCATACTTTGCTAGCTCTGCACCCTCTCCAGACAGGGCAGCCCTGCGTGCATGCACAGCATCACCCCACTCACTCCGCAATGGGAAGCCCTGTGTGTGGGTACTGCAAAATTTTGCTGGCTCCGTGATTTCGTGGGGCAGAGCAGCCCTACGTGCCCAACTATCTCTGTACTTTCTCTGAACTGGGCAGTTCTGTGTGTGGGTACCGCAGCCATTTTCTAGGTTGTCACTCTCTCCAGGAAGGGCAACACTACATGAGCACACAGAGGCACCCCAATATCTCTGTGCTTCTCCTCTGGATAGGGTAGCCCTGCAGGCAGGTCCCATAATGCTTTGCTAGCTCCACGCTCTCTCCAGGTGGGTGAGCCCTGCTTGCATGCACAGCCCACTTGGAGAAGCAGCACCCTGCCAGACCCCCTGGATCAGTCTCTGGGCAGGGGCTCCCCCTGTGTGCACCCTTCAGGTCGCCATATAACCTGGGTGGAGCTTCCACTCACTATCCACATGTTGGGGAGCTATAAACATTGGTGCTTGCTGGTTCCTTGGGTCCTGGGTTGTTCCCTCGGCTCCTGGAGAGCTCTCATGAGCCCTCGTGGTATCTGAACCTTCCCTATGTGGTCTCTCTCCCTTGCTTTATTGTGCAGAAGCTGTTCAGTTAGATTACAGTTGTCTCTCAGGAGGAATTGCTATAAATACAGGTATACATAGGATGTGCTCTTAGGAGGGGGCAAGCTCAGTGTCTACCTATGCCACCATGTTGGACCTGTGAGAGAGTTCTTAAATAAAATCTGATGGTGGCTGTAGCAACAAGCTTCTGCTTCTGGGCATCTGCTCAGATATGCTCTGATTCTCCATATTCAACTGTCTATGCAATTTTCGGGGCATAGGTTTTCCCTCTGACTTCAACTCTCTGTTGAATCGAAGAGGAATTTTTGATTTTCACCTAGTTTAGCTTTTCTCTTGTGTGAGCATAGGCATGATAACTTTCAAGCTGCTTACTTGTAGGACCAGAAACCAGAAGTCTTGCATCACTCACTTTTTATCTCTTGGCTTCATGTCGTATCTGTAAAATAAAGGGATAAGATCACTAGTTGGTGACTGAATTCTCCTCTAGCGCTAGCATTTTGTTGAGTCCATAAGCACTGACTTGCATGAGTGACTATGCAGATTTGTGACATTTGACCCCTTCTTCTACAGGCAGACCTGCAGGTGGACAAGGAGAGGCACAATTTTTTCGAATCCTCCCTTGATTACGTTTATCAAATCCAGGAAGTTCAGGAGTCCAAGAAGTTCAATATTGTGGAGCCGGTAAGCTCTATCTGTTGATGAATAGTCTAAAAATATTCACCAAATGCCTGGTAAATGTGGGAAACTTTAATCATATAATTGGAATTGCAAAGAATGTGAAAGACAGTTGTAATAATGAATCTCAAGAAAGTAGACTCGCTGGCTTGTGTTGTTTTTGCACTTTCACTAACATTCTCTCTCTCTTCCTTCCCCCATTTTCTCTCTTTGGCTATGATTTTGCTTTCTTTTACTTTTCCTCCTCTCTCCTACTTTCACTCCGTCTATTTTCCCTTTTCCTTCCTCTCATGCTTTCATAAAGCCTTTGAAAATACCTAGCATATGCCAGGCACTGTGCTAGGAACTCAAGTCCCTTGCACGAGTGACTTCGCATTGTACCAATTTTACTTCTATTAAAATTTTTTCTACTTAAATCTCCTTAATTTATATAAATGATGACATGTTTTGATTCGACAACTATGTTGAATTTTAACAACTTTCTTTTTTATTAAAGAAAATATATTCTTATTACAGAAAAGCTAGAAAACAATTACAGGAAAAACAAGACAACAACAAATCCCCCCTACAGAGATAGTAACTGTTAATATTGTGGTATTTTCTTCACACATTCTCTGTTTAGCTATTATATTTCTCTGTCTACGTGTGGCCATGTACTTGTAGGTGTGGGTGTGTGTACACCTGTATGCATGTGTATATACACACGTGTATATGTTGCACACGAGCCCATATATCTGCACATGAGTATTTGTGCTGACATTTGTATATATCTGTTTATGTGTATGTGCGAAGGAGTATTTCTTCATCCAATAAACGTTCATTGTGCTTCTATTATGTGCCATGCACTGTGCTAAACACTGGGTATCCTATAGTGAATAAGACAGACTCATTTCTGTCTTTATGAGTACTACACTGTCACAGGGTAGACAGAAGGGAAGGAAGGATACATGTAAATAAAATAATTGTAAGTTGTGATAAGGGCTAAAACAAAGGACACAAGTGGGCAGCTGCTTTTGATTAGGTCATCAAGGAGTACGTTTGAAAATGTCATTTAAGATTGAAAGAAAGAGAATATGAGGCAATGCCAATAATGTGGAAGGAGCATTCCAGGCACAGAAAGACACATGTACACAGTCCTTAAATTAGGAAAGCATAGCGTGCTCAGGGAATGAAAATATTAGTGCCTTCAGGTACTGGTAACATAAAAGGAGAGTGGCAGCAAACAATGTCTGAAAGGAAGGCATAGGACCTGTAGACGTGGGAAGGGGTTTGGATTTTAGTCTAAGTGCAGTGGGAAACTGCTGGCAGTTGTTAAACAGGATATGACATGAGCTGATTTGTCGTGTGGAGAATGCTTGGAAGAGGCCCCCGCTGGCAGTGAGAAAACCAGTTAGGGGGCTACTGCACTGGTCTAGGCAAGAAAGGAGATTGGTTTTGGTTAGGGGAGTGGCCATGGAAATAGAAAGGAATGGCTGGGGGAGAGATATATTTTGGAAGCAAACCTGACAAGAATCACTGATGTGTTGGATTGAGGTGTGACTGAAAGAGAAACCAGGTATGATTCTTTACTTTGTAGCTTATTGACTGAGCGGGTGGTGTTGCCATTTCCCCAAGATGGGAAAGAAACAGGAAGATTATGTATACTACTGTGTGTGTACATACACACACGTGTGTATAGTACATACATATGTGTATGTGCATAATTTTATATGGTTTATATACATATATATACAGCTTGTGTTTGTATACATACACATATCTGTGTATATACTACATGTAGTGTGTGTGTATATTTATATGTGCTCACCTGTTTACTTTCTAAAAAGAATAGAGCAATTTTTACTACTTATACTTCACTATTGCCAGCATTGAGAGTTATTTTTTAAAAGTTTTGTATTTCATAGATGAAAAGAATATTTTCTTCAGTTTTTATTTCTGTATAGACGATTTTTAATGGGGTTAGCTATTTTGGACATTACAAAAGTACTTTATTGATGGTTTGTATGTCTTCTGCAACCCCTTGAAAACAGTTCTAATTCGAAATTGGGTTCAGGATCCTTAGATCTTTTAGCATTACGGTAGTCTTCATAAAGTTATAGATTCTGACTTCATACGTTTATCCATTTAGTTATCTATTCATTCAAGAAGTATTTATTGAGTACCAACTCTGTGCCAGTCCTGAGGGTTTACAGAGAAAAGACACAGTCTATCTTCATAATGTCCAAAATATGAATGGTTTTGTATGCTATCTGAAAAGGACTGGAATGAATATATCTGTTAGTCATTCTTATTTTCTGAAACTGAGTTCAGTGTAAATGTTTAACCTAATAAGAGGATAGCTGTATGTAGACGTGTTTGTGTTTGCATGACTGCGTTTAAGACTATCCTGGGTAAACAGTGTGCGGAGTTTCTTTTCTGTGCTTCTGTCTTCTATATTTGATCGATGTGAAGGTGCTGGTGATAAAGTTACTTTTACACGTTTTCCCTTAGGTCTTGGCTTTTCTTCATAGCCTCTTCATTTCAAACAGCTTGACGGTTGAGCTCACACAGGATTTCCTCCCGTACAAACAACAGCTCCAGCTCAGCTTGCAGAATGTAAGATTGCATGGGGGTTTTTCACCTGTCTCTACATTGCAATTGGATTTAAGCCTTGATCTTGGAATTGTAGGTTATTGCACCCCAGCCAATTTGTCAGGACACACTGGTGTGGGTCACAAATATTTCAGTGTACTGGACTATTCTTGCTCTTCCACTCTTGGGTCTTCCAACCCACCCTTTCACCCACTCACACCTGTCTGTCCAGTATTTAAGTGTTGCTAACTTGCTGCATCTCTCAGAGATCAGAACCCAGGTTTGGGCTTGTTTAAGCGCAGATCTTATGCTACTTCCCTACATGTCAGTCAAGACACTCTCATTGTGGGTTTTATTACCCTGAATGGCCATTTTCTCTTCTCTTCCTTTTCTCACTACTTACTACTAGAGTTAAATAAAGTATTTTTAAAGGTTTCCTCCACCCTCTCTCCCGTGCTGGTTCTTATAGATGGACATAAGCACAGCCTTCCCATTCTTGACATACAGATTCTTTCTCATTCATTTAATTAACCCACATTGAATGACTGCTGATGGATATGAACATAAACCCTGTGCCAGGTGTTGTAAAAGGCATTGGACATCCATAGTGATTAGGCATGTTTGTTTTTCTGTCTTCAAGGAATGTAGTCTCTTGGAGGAGAAAAACATAATCACAGATAAATCGTAATCCTTTATGATAAATGTTAAAAGTTAAATTGAACTTACTGCTGTTGTTTTCTTTCTGGGCACTCTTACTCACTGGAATGTGAGAGCCCTTCTCTTCTGCTGATTTACAAAGTCTTTCTGTAACCAAGTTATTCACTTGAATCTTCCTCAAGTATAACTTGATGGGCATGAGTTCAACAGCAAGCCTTTGTATGTTTTACACATGGCGAACTCATTTCAAAGATAATGAGCACAGTGGGCCCGACTAGATAGGGCAGCCCAGATCACCATTTTCGCTGCCATCATGTCACAGTCTTGAGACTAAACACTAAGGACTTCTAATGGTTTTCATACCCACATTTCCAACTGTGTTTTGCCATTGTGTTTTAGTTGTGCAGTGTTCAAACATTAAAATTAGCTTCTTAAAATTAGCTTTTGTTATTCATGATTATGGAAACTAAGTTTTCTGTTGACCTATCTTCCAACAGAGCACCCTATCATACATTTTATCCTAGTGGCCGAATTACATTCAGAGTCACGTAGGCAGTAGCTTTACTTCAGGCTGAACTTAGACGGTACCGTGATAATATTATCTTTGGGCATCTTCTTCATAGTTCCCCTTTTTGTGCAGCAGAGGTCAGTCTCAGGCTCAGAGTTCTAAGAGCCCTTATTTATTGGAGCTTTATGTGATTCCCATTAGAAAAAAAGTCCCCCAAATGTGGTTTTATGGGTACAGTGCTATTTATGTGTGTTTCCCTTTTAGTCTTTAGCGCCGTTAAACTCCATAAAATCGTTTTCTGGTCACTGTGGCATTTAACATCTATTTTTGCTATGTTGTAACATGGCATGAAAGCCGAGAATACTGTGGGTCTCTGGCCAAAAAAAAATGCTTATTTATGATGATGGTGATGATGATAATGATGATGATGATGATGATGTCTTTGCAGACAAGAAATCATTTCTGCAGTACCCGGGAAGAGATGGAAGAACTTAAGAAAAGGATGAAAGAAGCTCCCCAGACATGCAAACTTCCAGGACAGCCAACCATCGAAGGCTATCTCTATACGCAAGAGAAATGTATGTGAGATACAATACAGGGAGACCCACTGGGTTTTAGTAGGCTGGCACCTACTGCCACTTGGCTTTTCCAAACTCCGGGCACCCATATTCAAGACCGCTGATAGCTACACCTCTTTGGAGAGCAGTCTGGGAATAGTGAAAATAAAAAGGAAGGAAAAATTGGAGGGGAAGGTTATGGATTTGTCTTATAAAGGCTCTGGGATGATAGGACCTCAGGTCTTATATGCGATTCAAAATGGGGATTGATAATTATTTAACCCTTTTCAATGACTTTGACTGGGGCAAAAAGAGAGGTAGGGGATAGGAGGTAGGAAAATAATATTTATTCCACCTACTATGTGCCAGGCATGGTGCTGAGTGCTTTACATACAGTATCTCATTTCACCTTTGAAACCACCCCATCATACCCATTTTACACATGAAGCCTCCGAGACTCTGATATCAACTAGCTACGTGATCCTTTTATGCCCAGTTTTCTAATTTGTCAAGTGGATATGATATTGCCACTCAGTTGAGTGTATGCTTATAGGGCATCATTTTTTCTGACAATATTCAGTGCATTGGGCATACAAAAATGTGGATCAGCCTTTGTTTTTGCCCTTGAGCAGTGCACAGTCTGACGAGGAAGACAGACAAGTATATCAAGAGTTATAAAGAAATATGTTGAGCACTGCATTTGGGGCATATGCACGAGGGCTTCACTGAGGAAGTGACATTTGAACTGGAACTTGAATTATGAGTGAGATCTTGACAGGTGAAGAAAAGAGGAAAGAAAATTCCAGGTGTATACCATGCATGAGCAAAGGAACAGAGGTGTACAAGGATCTAGTGTGTTTGTAGGGCCTTGGTTTGCTAAGGATGGTCCTGGTTTACATGCATTGTCCTGATGTAATTATTAATAGTGCCCCATTCACTCTTAAATACGTCTTGAGTTTGGCTTATAAATTACATGGCATCAACAAATTAAGTCGTCAGTAGGGTCCTGAACTTATTCAGTTCCACAAGGATGGAGAGGAGAAAACAACTGCAGGAAAGATATTTAGGGGCTGAAATGGACGGAACCCAACCGCCAGTCTGACAGGCCACATGACAAGGCAGGGGAAGCGGAGGACTAGATGTTTCCAGCTCATGCGATGAGGTGTGTAGAGGAACACGGCCAGATGAGGGGTTCGGAGCAGCCAGAGCAGATGCGGAAGCAGGTGATGAGGGTTAGGCTCTCCAGGTGACACCGGGCAGGTGACACAGCATGGCTGGAGCTTGGGAAAGCGGGGGCTGGCTCCGGGGCATGACCCCGACAGCAAGCTGTGCACAGCTTCCATCTTAGGGGTGGAATGACTGTGCAGCCGAAACTGAATTTGCTAGCTCATCTGTGTCTGTTTTTGTAGGGGCTTTGGGAATATCCTGGGTGAAATACTACTGCCAGTATGAGAAGGAGACCAAGACGCTCACCATGACGCCTATGGAGCAGAAGCCAGGTGCTAAGCAGGTGAGTTGTGTTGTGTGCCACATTTTCTGATGTGCATCTGTGACTGTATCTCAGCAGAGGGTAGATGCTGACGTAGTGTCAGAGAAGAAGTCCGTCACTGCCATGTGTAGCCATGACTTCATGTGTCTCCTCAGCGTAAATTTACATTGGGCCAAATACTGCTCAGTGAGTGAAAGCTCTCTGTTAAGTATGTCAGCCCTTCTGAAAGTGCCTGCACTGTCAGAGCACTTACTAAATTATGACAAGTGCCTGTCACGCTGTACAAAGAAAATTTACCAAAACATGGGTGAATTGTGACATGATGGCAGCAGAAATGGTGATCTGGGCTGCCCTATCTAGTTTGGCCCACTGTACTCATTTCCCTTGAAAAGAGTTCACCACGTGTTGCTGTTGAACTCATGCCCGTCAAGTTATACTTGAGGAAGATTCAAGTGAATAACTTGGTTAGAGGTAGACTTTGTAAATCAGCAGAAGAGAAGGGCTCTCACATTCCAGTGAGTAAGAGTGCCCAGAAAGAAAACAACAGCAGCAAGTCAGGATCCTCCTAAACAAAGACACAAAATTTATTGCCGCTGCAACTTACCAACCTCTTTCATCTAAAAATACATCTATAAATTCCAAGTGTTCAAAATAGAAATGAGTGTCCCAAATTCTTTTTTAAAAGAGTGTGTCTAAAGTTGCACTAACCTGTACCCCACAGTCTGTAATACTCAAATATCTTGAAGCAGTCACTGCCTCTTCTTCCATCCTTCAAACGTTCAAACTGAAAGTGGCAAGATGAGTTTAACACACTGAGAAGACAGTTTACTTACCTGGAAGAATCCCCTATGTTATGTGATGTTATGTTATATGTTGTTATGTTAGAACATGCAGCCAAAGCATTTATTCTGTCATCTCACTTTTGTCTGTGTTTGTAGGAGTTTGGGGAACACACACACACACAGACACACACACAGACACACACACACACTTGGGTTTCTTAAGATGAAAGCTGATAGACAGGCTATTCACATTCTAAAGTAGTTCAATGCGTCCTTTTAACTGTTAACATTTAACAGCTCTCAGACAGGTTTGGCGCATGATTTTAAAAGATTTTCATCCTTTAGAAATTGTTTGCAAAGTGAAACAATGTTCACTTGTTAGGAGTGAGCATTGTATGCATGAAGACTGAATTTAGAGAGGCAGGAATTTGGAGAAACTTGGGCCTATTTTCTCTATTGCTGGTACTTTCCGTGGAAGAGCTGTCTTCTGTGACTTGTTCATAGGAAATTAGAGAAGACTGACATTTAGTGGCAGGCTATTAAAAAGCAGCTGTTTTGGGTCTTTAGCCACAATTTTGCCACTCTGCTTTGAACGTGGATTGGAGGTGGGATGCACGCTGAAGCTTATCAAATGGGGTTTCTAGAATCCTTAGCTATGCTATATGGGCTGGTTATTCGTTCATGACTCTAAAACTCTCCTTAGTTTCCAGTCTGCCAATTGCCAAAGCACCTTTCAGTGTGATTCAAGTAGATTTAACTTGTCCCAGTTCTGTCAGAACTTAGCTGATGTATGTGACTGGCAAAGCTTTATAAACAACCGTGTCATGCCGTCTCTTCCTTTGCTTGTTATACACACATTACTTTCTAAATCCCAGGCGTTCAAGTTCCTCCTTAGACAGTAAGCTGATTAGGCCCTTTCTGTCCTGCTCAGAGGTGCCTACTGCAAAGCTCAAGACAGAGGCAGCAGATGCCACTTTCATATCCTCCTAGCAGCTGAGAGCAAGTGCTTCTTTTCATTTTTGCCCCTCTTCCCTTTTCGTTGAGTGGCTGCTTGCAAAACTGCAGTCGTGTCAGCCTAAGCAGTTTTAATATGGGATTCCTGACAGAACAGAAAGAGGAACTTGGTTCTGCCTTTCGAAGGAAGAGGGGGTGGAAGTAGTTACTTGAATTGCCCTTAATTGGAGTTGGAAATGGTTCCTTGTCACTTCTCTGACTTAGTTCCTATTACTAGTTTGTATTTTAGAAAGGTAAAATAAATAAATAAATAAATAAATAAATAAATAAATATGTGAAATAATAATAATAATGATAATAATAAATAACATGGTCAAAAGCCACTATGTTGAAGGTCTGCTGTGTGCCAGATGCTGAGGTGCATACTTTTTGTCATATGCCTCTTAACTGTCCCAGCAGCACTATGAGTTTGAGCTAGCCGAATTTGAAGGTAGAGGAATTAGCCCTCCTGAGGACTAGGAAGCTTAGCGCTGTTCCTTACTGGTTCAGCCTGTCGACCGCCATTTGTTGTTCTGCTGGTCACTTGGCACATTGCCATCCCGATGTTTTATGAGATTCTTATCCCTTCCCTGTTAGGCATTTGTGCTAAGAGGAAAAGAGCGCTCCATTTTGAGTCTCAAGAACTGGTTTTAAATCCTAGCTCTGTGGCCTACTAGCTTTTTGTTCTTGACTAAATGACTTGTTCCTTGTGTCATTTTCCTTATCAGAAAAGTGGCACCATGAGCATTTACTGAGCACTAGCTCTTTGCCAGGTACTAGAGATTTAAAGATAAATGAGACACTTTCCATGTCATTGAGGCGCTCTCAGTCAAATAGGGAAATCAGACATGAAAACAGGAAGCTTTAATATAATGCAGAGGACCCATAGTGGGCGATGTATGGGCTTTGGGGAGGATTTTGAAGGAAATTGAAATTGAACTGCAGTTTCTGGAACCAGTAAGAGTTTATGCAGACAAAGAATATAGAGAAAGTCATTTCGGGTGGAGGAAACAGTGTGTGCAAAGTTACAGAATCGTGAAAAGGCATGATGTGTGTAAGAAATACAAGTAGTTTTTCACTGATGGCACATAAAACAGGGGTGCCTGAAGGTGGACCTGGAGTGGTGGGCAGAGCCCCTGAGCTGTGATGCCACCAAATCTGAGGGAGTTGAGTGTTTAAAAGAGGGATGGTGAGCACAGGATGAGCTTGTTAAGTACTCTCATCTTGAAAGACCAATGATGCTCAATATCCTAAGTGTGGGAGTGGGGGAGGCAGATTGAAGGATGGATTTCGAGTTAAGTTTTTATGGTGCAGGACCGCAAAAGGATAGGCCTGTGGGGCTTGAGTGTGCCAGTGAGAGCGAAGTAGTGGATGAGCAGTTGTACGGGCTAGTTTGGATGGCATAGTGCTTAGGCTTAGATCTGGCGCTTAAGCAGTGTTTCCGAATCTCAGACAACAAGGTGGGTCGTATTGTTTCCATCGAATAGCCTGTGAAGTTATGATTCAGAGTGAAAAGGATTTTCCCTGGCTCACGTAGCTAGCAAAAGGCACAACTGAGACAAGGCCCCAGGTTTTAAGCTTCCTAGTTTATTGCTATTTCCACTATACCAACTTGGGTGACTTTGGGTAAGCCATTTTACCTCTGAGCTTCACTTCCCTGCAAGGGGCGTAATGAAGAAAGTTGGTTTCAAAATACCCAGTGTCATATGTTACACCTAGTAGGTGACCGATTAGCGTTATTTCTCCTTCCTGTCTCACATTGTCTCTGTTGAGATAATAGAGGGGAATTTTAATCTGTGGAAACAGTGGATTTTAATGGCCTTGTTCAGTGCCCACAAGACTAAGGTGGACCACACTGTCCCACACATACAAAACACCAAATGCCACCTTCACTAATACATACATTGGCTGACTTTCCCTCCCCCTGCCCTGTCTTTGGAGAGGTTGCTTTTGCAAGTCCTGTCATCCTCAAGAGTCTGGAGATGCGGAACAGAAATGTTTGTCTCCCCTCCTCCATCTGCCACTCTAATGGAAGGTCGCTTGCAGAAAGCCACTTACCCATTGAAGCCTCCCTACCTAGAAGTCTCATGAAAATTTTATTCTGCACACGTAATGCCATTTGGGCAGCCCATTTCTCCTACACTCCCCTTCCATGATGTGTAATGAGCTTCCTATTTAATCAGCCATGCTTGGAAAGGAGTGGTGGCCCACCTGAGTGTTTTCTCTTGGTCTCAGCCATTCACTGATTCTTGCTGCAGTCACTGTTTGAAAGGACAAGGTTCTCAGTGAGGCTACACATCACCCCTGCTGCCTTAACAGATGCCTTCCAAGTGACACGGAGGACACTGCAGGAGGCAGAAGAAGCTTCTGTGCATTTTTTCCCAAATCGGCTATTAATTCTTCTCTTGTATCAGGGGCCCTTGGACTTAACCCTGAAGTACTGCGTGAGAAGGAAGACGGAGTCTATTGACAAGAGGTTCTGTTTTGACATAGAAACTAATGAAAGGTAAGCTGGGCTGGTGGGAATTGGCAGCGTCCCTGTGTGCCAGGTGTTGAGCGTGCATAGATCTCTTATTTTCCTCTGTCAGCTCTTGTTGATGCAAATGAGTAAATCCGTTCATGACATCGTTGTCTTGGCGCTTCTGGCTGCCCTTCCCAGGGGTCCCTGTTAGACGTGGCCCGGCGCTGGCTCTCTCTATGCACACTTTAGTCAGCCGTGCGTCGCCTGCTCCAGGCAGAAAAAGTCATTCCTCACATTTCATTCTCTCAGAGATGCCAAAGGTTAGCATTTGATGCTGCTGCAAAAAGGACAGGAAAACAAAAGTCTTTTTTTTAAAATCTCCTAATATAACATACAAGAACAAGTGAATTAGAATGCACTTTGAAGGGGAGATAGGTGGGATGGAGGGTGGCGATGGGACTGGGGAGTTTTTTCCCCCTACTTGGTGCAAACATCACACAGACTTACCCCACTTTGCAGATATTTACGTAATGTGGAAATAGATTATCAACTTTCTGATTTCAGCTAAGGCTTACAAACTTTGGACTTGACTGCCTTTGTTTCTCTCCAGTACCTTCTTTTTGTTTTCTGAACGGGCACAATTTTATTAGATGGGAGTTTAACGTTTACATTTTAAAATGAGAGCATTTGGAGTTACTTTGGCATGTTCTGTAGGTGGGAGGCCGATCCAAAATCCAGTGAATAAAGGTGTTTCTGTATTTTACTTCAGTCTGTTGTGTCTATCTGTTAGGCACTGGATAATACAATAGAATTGAACACAATGATCAGATTACTAGAAAGGAACTTGAAGGTTGAATTACAATAGCATATGAACAAAACTATCAGAAACTGGAATCAGAAAGATTTGTCTAAGAGATGAGGGCTTTTTTGGGGGGGCGGAGTGATCTGCGAATAATTGACTATTAGTGAGTTTCCCCATTTAAAATGTCTGTTTGTGAATCTATATGAACTTTTTGTTACAAGAGAATGGTCCCCATGAAAGATGGCTGTGATCCTAAACACTGTTACTAGTAAACACTGTTACCGGCAAACTGTGAGGCTGTCACTCTTTTTTCCGACAGCTGCAGGCCCAGTAGGAAGGGAAAATGACTGTTGGCTGTGGCTCCCCTTTCATGAACCATTAGTGTCTCTGGCTCAAAAGCATCAAGGTCCATAAAAGAAATGAACATTTCCCGCCTTTAGTTTCATTCGGATTCCCTTTTCAGCTTAAATTTACAAGCTTCTTGCAAATATTCCCACGGACTCAAGGCAGTTGCAAACAGTTTGGCCTCTGGGCTAGGGCCTGGGACCTACTCACAACTATGTCTCTTGCCCCTAGCGCTATGCAGAGTTCATGGTAGAAACTAAATTTGGTGTTCATTTTCTAATGTATTTTTTTCCTACGCCGGAATGCTGAGGATTTCTGAAACTAAAACCCAGGAATCAAATTTTGATGTGTCTGTGATTTTAGTTACCACGTGTTGGGCACTTTTAAAAATGTTCTCTCATTTAATCCCCTCCCCAACTGTACAGGTGAGGTGACTGAGACTGGAATATGGTTAAGTGACTTGCCTAATCAAAGTCACGTACGTAGTGACAAGGCTGAGCTCAAACCCTGACAAGGCTGAGCTCAAACCCTGGTCTGTCGGTCTCCCAAGCCCATGTTCTTTTTAATTCATCCCCTTTTCTATTATAAGCAGAATAAATGTGCTGTGAAATAGAGCGTCAAGTATAACAGTGAAGGTACTGAGGCATCTCTGCGCATGTGGAGTTTTCCAAGGGATGTGACATCTGCTTTCCTGGCTAGTCAATCTGACATAAGGAACAGAGTCAGGCTTCCCAGCAGGCATGAGGCGCTTGTACTCATGTTCCCTGCGGCACAGAGCAAAGGACTCTGTGAATCTTGTTTTCTAGTTTGGGAATAGAGGATAACTTTTTGTAAGTGTTCTTACCAGTATTTGAAGCCACAGGCTTATAGCCCATCACAGCTTGAATAGCAATAATAATAATAATAATAATAATAATAATAATAATAATAATAATCACAACAACAACAACAACAGTGACCGTTACCATTTGCTGAGTACCTGCTATGTGCCAAGCACCATTCTCAGCCCTTTAAGTGAGAATTTCCTTTAGTCTTCACCACAGTCACATGAGGTAGGGGTGTTATTATCTCGACCTCACAAAGGAAGACAAGGAGACGGAGAGAAGTGAAGCCACTTAAATGACACAGCTAGAAAAAGCTAGAGCCAGGGTTCAGGCTCACACTCTTAACCTCTGTCGTCTGCTATGGATGTGCTCCATGTGCCCTTTTGGTCCAGATGGGTTACTGAGACCTTGGGGAGGGCACAGGCTTTGTCTAAGGTCACAATGGAAGACCCTGGATGAGGAGTCAGTACTCTTTACCTCTGGCATCCTGTTCATAACAATATTGTTCTTTGAACCTGACTTTCTGTCATACTCCAGGATCTCCCAGTGCTTTCTGAAGAGTCACTTATTATTCTTTCAGCTTCTTGGTAAGGTCAAGCCAGGACACACACTGGATTTTCTATTTCCCAGATAGGGAAGATGAGTTCCAGAGTGGTTTTAATATCGTATCTGGTCTTCAGTGTCTGCTTTTCTGTCTGTGGCCCACCTGCTTGCTTGCCTGCTTTGTGGCTTCAGGATTCAGCTGGGTAGCTGTCTTTCCTCAGATTTTAGACGTTTTCACTCCATGTGATATAGCCAAAAGGCTGGGTGTTTCTAAGAGAAAAGTAAACTTGAAAGAATCCAGGACTCAAAGCCGACTCCTGGTTTTCAATTGATTCCGGCTTGAAGATAATTTGGGAGCTTTCTTTTAAAGGCATGCTTTAATGAAGCAAGTGATTGGGAGGGCAGGTGGAACAGACGTCTCATGATAGCACAACTGTTGGTTCCAATACCCTTATGGATAATGAAACTGAGGTCCAGAGAGGCCCAGTGACTTTTTCAGGGTCTCTCGTCATTGTTCTTATCGTGTCATGACTCTGAGAGAGGTCTCATAATGGCACAGTGAGGCAGACAATGCAAGACTTTATGCTTGCACTAATATGGTCAGTCCTATTGCAAATTCCCAGTTTGCTTGTGAAGACCTAAAAAGACCATACACAGTATACCAGCTTGGGGGATCTCCGAAGATACAGTTAGGTACTCTGCAAGTAAATAAAGGAAAATTGGACTTGAGGCTGTCTGCCATGCAGAAGACTCGGAATAGTGTAGGGCTTAAGAAAGTACATGGCTGCTTTACCAGAATTACTAAATTCAAATGCTGGCTGTATACTTACCCACTGTGTGAACTTAGGTAACCTCTCTGTTCCTCAGTTTCCCCTTCTGTAAAATAGGAATTACTATAGTACCTGCTTTATAGGCTTCCTGGGAAGAGTGAACAAATTAATACCTCTGAAGTACTTAGAACAGGACCCAGTACCTCGTGAGCTTTCAATAACTAAGAGTTGTTGCTGTTAGTCATAAGATTGCTTAAGTCAGCTGAAGGGCCTCCCTCCTGGGGCTGAGCCAGGGTGCATGTCGTTGACTTCTTTCCAACTGGAAATGCTCCTGGACACCCTAGGTGGTGGAAGTAGCGAAGCCATTTTCCTGAAGGCGAATGTGCTGGTGAGAAACATGCTCACCCCTAGAGCCCAGGCCAAATGGCTGGCTTCCAAGACAGGGAGGCAGGGAGAGCCTGTTTGGCTCAAGCACAATGGGGCCAATTTAAATGTATATTATGGTGCGGTGTCTTGGCATAGCTCGTCCTGTTTCCTTGCCTGACCCTGGTGTAAGGCCGCCCAGATACCACCTCCCCAGGGTCCCCAGAGCTCCTGTTCTCTAAATGTTCTGTTGCTTTCCTGAGTAAAAGAGCATTTGAAACACTGGAGCCTACTCAGTGTGACACCTCCCGGGGCTGAGACAGACCTTAGATCACAAGACTCCATTTTCTCAGTGAGTTTTCTGCTTTCAACTTGTCATTTTTTCCCTTAGGCCAGGAACCATCACTCTGCAGGCCCTTTCAGAAGCTAACAGAAGGCTATGGATGGAGGCCATGGATGGGAAGGAGCCTGTAAGTTAACCTCAAACTTTGGGAAATACCTGGGCAGCTTAGCCTGGTGAGTGAGTGCCCTCTAGTGGTACCAGAGGGTCTAGGACAATTAAAGCGTAATAGATCCTTCCGACTCAACATTTTTAGAGCTAGAAGGAATTGTTGATTTGCCATCGCTTGTTCAACAAGTAAGGCAAGTTGAGTTCTAGAGGCGGGGCGGGGGGGGACCTTCTCTAGGATCACCATCACGGAAGGCATCCAAGCTGGGCCTAGAACCCAGGGCTCCTAGCTCACTGCTCCAGTTTAAGTTATACAGCTGTTCCCAGAACATCTTAAAGAAAATCAAGTCTCATTTCAGTTTATATAATCAATATGTGTTCATATGGAAGGATGGAACATAAATGACGTGGCTGGGAATAAGCATTTATTAAGCTTTCAGTGAAAATCGTTTTGCTGCACCCTCTACATCCCCAAGTCAGCTTATTGTCTGTAAGGGTACAGCTAGTGGAGGAGATGGCATTGCCGTCCTGTATCCTAAGATCGCCACTCTATGCAGAAGGCTGTTACACAGGAGGACAAGCGATACCTTAGAAGGGTTAGTGGTGATCCCGGAAACACCAAAACGAATAGTCAGAAATCACTGAAAAGCATTTTCTCTCTTTAATATTTTCTCAGTAGGTGTCTTCCAGTGGCCTATGAAATAATATCAGCTTCCTAGTGTTGGAGTCTCAAAAGCCTAGATTTTGATCCTGGTTCTGCCACTCAGTGGTTGTGTGACCTTGATCAAGTTATTTCATCTATCAGTGACTCAGGTTTCCTCTCTTCAGTAAAATGGCTTTAATAATCTCTGTTCTACCTACCTCACAGGGCTGCTTTAAAAAGCAAGTGAGAGCCAGTCTGCCAATGATCATGTGATTTTTAGTTTTTTAGGTGCTTCGAACTAGTCTGAAGAATGGCTACAGAGCTACTGAGACTCAACAGTATTCAATGCAGCCTAATCTCCTTGCTTTACTCAAGGCAAACATTTGCTAAGAGGGGAATTATATTCCAGGGTTTTCTTTCTGTGGGTCCACAGTGCCCAGGGATCTAAAGAGAAGCACACAGACCCCAGACTGCATTTATAGCAACCCATCCGGAACGTGGTCGTGACCTGTCTCCCCTCCCTTCCCTCTCACAAATCTGGAGTTTGACTATTACATGCCTTTGAGGTTTCTCTAGGATGCCAGGAGGCTCTGCACAGGCCTTTTAGTCTTGACTCCCTGTTCCAAACTTGCTCTCCCTCAGGTTTTAAAGATCAGAAGGATGCAGATGGCTTTTTGTGGTGAATGATGTTAGAACATGGCCCACTTGATTGTAACAGACTTTCCCCAAATATCTTGTTTGTAAAAGTGGCAGCAAGGGGTGGCCAGCACAGAAAGCTGTCTCACCAAGGTGCCCATAGGTATCCACAAATATTCAGAGCATTTCCCTTTAAAGGAGAAGTTGTTAAAGCACATGCTACCCCACGGCATACACATCACTCATGCTGATTTTACAGGTATGGATTTCCAAGTCTGGACATGCCCCAGATTTCATCAGGAGGTCGAGGTGGAGCCAAGACTGACTTCAAGAGTCAGGGATCTCCTTTGGTCTCTCATGTAGCTGTCACAGGACACTTCAAAATGCCTCCGAGAATCCTGGGTCAATGCATGGGTCTCTTTCAGACAGACACTTGCCTTTCCTCAGAAAAACTCCTATTCAGTAGTATTTGGGGTATGGGAGGTGGGTATAGGGAACATTTCAGTTTTACCATCAATGCCCGTTACTCAGGTATGTATGAGAAAACCACTGCCTTTCTGGCATGTTCTCTGGCTCCATCAGAAAAACTCGCCATAAGTAAATGTCTGAGAGGGCCATACCTTCGGCTGCAGTGAGCTGTATGAAATCCAGTGTCGTCGTCAGGGATTGTTAATCTGACTGTTTTCTAGGGACCTGGGCCAAGACTGATTCTGTTCAGCCCACTTTTCCTTCTTGTAGAAAGCCTTGAGTCATTAATGGTGTTGATTTACTATTATTTGCCACACTTACCTGTAGTGTTCACCATAGCCATGGCTCTCTCTGTTTCTCTTCTTTTGTAGATATACCACAGCCCCATAACGAAACAGGAAGAAAGTGAGTCAAATTTCTGATCTACTGACATTATAAACTGCCAGCTGTCCTAATCACAGTAAATGCTGTCATCAGTGACATGTGATGTTGATGCTAGTGTGTTTATGGATGCTGCTGTGTGGAATGAAATTCAGACCTATTTTTAAAAAAAACGTGTCTGTTGATTGAACTAAGGAAGTCACCTTATCTTACCTTATGGGGGAGAAGTAACCGTAATATAAAGAAACACATTATACCCTTCCTTTTCTAGACGCGAGAGAAACTGTGCGTTTCCAGCCTGACGTTTCACATTTGATGTTGCTCGTGCCTAAGGCACACATAATGCAAAGAGCTAACTGAAAGCATTTTGTGTTATAAGGAGTAAAAACTCTAACCAGCACCCCTCCGATAAAAGGACCTTTCTATTCAATGCTGATTGGAGATGAGCCACCAAACCCTTAGTTCTCTCACTGCGGTCTCTTAGCATGATGATTGAATGCTTCGTAGTGAGGCGTGTTACAGGGGAACTAACTCTGCTTTCCTTTGCTTGAAACAGTGGAGCTTAATGAAGTGGGCTTCAAGTTTGTGAGAAAGTGCATCAATGTCATTGAGACCAAAGGTAAAGTAATAAACCATAGCCCTGGAAGTGTTTGAATGTGGTCACTCCAGATTTATCCTGGGACAATTTTTTTTAAAGATTTTTTTTTATTGGGGAATTGGGGGAAGGGGATCCGACAAGTTGCTGTTGTTTTGTTCTTCAGTCTAGTTGTAGAGGACGTCGTTTCACTGGCCCAAGTTGGCACCATCATTGCGCTCTTCCCGGGCGAGGCAGATCAGTCGCCGGCTTCTAGACGGCCGCTCACTGCGGCTGCTGGCCGCTCACGCTGGCTGCTGGCCACACACGGTAGCCCATGGCAACCCACTGCCACAGGGGCTGCAGCCTACGCCGTCGCCGGCGACTCATGGCAGCCCAGCTCCAGGTTGAGCTGTTGTTCAGCATCTTAGCTGTAGAGGGCAGTGTCACTGGCCCTCATATCTGGGATCCGAACTGGGGCCCTCGGGCATCCCAAGCCAGTTCTTAACCATGGCGCCACTCAGCCAGCCCCTGGGACAATTTTTTGAAAGTAGCAATGATGCCACCTATTGGTCAGGACCCATTTTAGGAATAAAGACTGTTTATAAACCTTGAACACCAGGCACAATTTGTAAAATTTCAGCGAATTCCAAACCAGCAGTACCCAAGTATATTTAGATAATTGGTGCTTCCTGCTTTTCAAGAGACATAGCTTCAAATAGCTTAACTACTACCTGGTACTCCTCAAGTAGTGTTCTGATGGTAATCCTCCATAAAAGAGAGTTCAGTTTCTCCCACAATACATACTGGTTTAAACATTGATAGGGGCAAAGCTAAACACAGACAAATGTGGAATCAGCATTTTCCCAGGTTGACGATACTCTCTAGTTTCTCTGAGACTATTTAGAATGAGGACAGATGTAGTGTATGAGCAGTCTCTTTTGTTCTTTGAAACGTTGCTTTAGCATTTGTTCATGCACAGAATGGTCTTTGGTTTCACGTGTGTCACACTCCAGCCCTCTCTTTCTTCATAGCACTGCTCAGGAGCATCTTGAACGCTGCTATTTCCCTTTGCAGTGAAACCCTATCTCCTTTCCAAGATGGCAGCCTCATTTGTAGCCATTTGCTGCTACCCACCTAAGCGTATTCTTCTATTTACTAGAGAGTGGATTCTTTTCTATACAGATTAATGAGGGCTTGATACTATCCAAATGAAAGTATGAAGAGAATTATTTGGAGAGATGCTTCAGGACTGTTCCCCTACTACAGGGGAGGCCTGGAGGACTGGAGAGAGTAGGGAGACCCATTCCTGTTTGAACTGACTCCAGTGTGTTAAGTACCAACTTTCTCTACCCAGAGGTAGATGAAAGCTCCAGCTATGTAAACACAATTGACCTGCTTTTCTTTTCCTAGGGCTCAAGACAGAGGGATTGTACCGTACCGTGGGCAGCAATATTCAGGTTCAGAAGCTGCTGAATGCCTTTTTTGGTAACAATTTTATTTTCATAATTCTTATTTGGAGCTGTTTGTGTATCAGGAAGAAATGTAACTGTAAGAGAAAAAAGACATTGTTAAAGAAGGTTGTAGAATTAAAAAAATATTTTCAAAGATAAAATGCACACATATTTGCCTACCCTGGATCAGAGACACTCTTCCCTTGAAGAAATGACTAGCATCTCTCCTTTCTCACATCTTATTTACTCCTCAAACTCTTTGGAATCTGGCTTTTTCTCCAACCTCTCCACCGGAGCTACTCTGATTAGGCGTAGAAGGTATATTCTTGTGAAATCCAGTGGACACTTTCAGTCTCTGTCTTGCTTGATCTCCTTGTTGACCACAACCCCCTATTTGAAACTTTCTCCCTCCATGGCTTCCATAACTCAGCAGTCTTCTGATTCTTCTAATATTTTGTATTCTGCGTTTCAGGTGACTCTTGTCAGGTCCTTTTCCTTCTCATTTTATAAATCTTGTCTGGGTAGTTCCCAGACTTCTATCTTTGCCGTCTATTGTTTCTTCTTCTACATGGCTTTCTAATGGTTGATTTTTTTATCAACCATTATGGGTCACATTTTTCTTTTTTAATGTCTAATAATTTTTATTGGATGCTGGGCATTGTGATTACTGAATTTCAATTTTGTTGAGTTCTTTTAAGGAGTGTTGAATTTTCTTTTGTAGGCAGTTATTTGTGGATCAGCTTGATCCATTTTAGGCTTTCTAAAAAGCTTGTCAGGACAGGTGTAAAGTACCTTATACTTGCTAGTTTAGCCCTACTACAAAGGTCTAACTTCTTTTGTTTCTTAAACATCTCCCAGCTCTATGTGACTTCTAGGAATTGTTCATTTTAAAGCTTCCTTGTGTTTCTTTGCCTAGTTTCATGGATTTTTTTTTATCCTAGTCACTCATGGCTTAGTATTTAACAACAGACTCAAGGGGCCAAGAACTTTTCATCATTGCAAGTTCAGCTTTTCATCATTGTATGTTCATCATAAGTTCAACAAAACTGACTATCATATTCCAGGGTATTATTTTGCATGTGAATATCGTTATTGATTTCTAGAGTTACACTTTTAACTTATAAGCATAAATAAAAGAATTAAAAACATTTATATAGATATGGAATTAGTACTGCCCATGTTTAATGTGCATCCTTATTTTTCACTTACTAATTTGGGCAAAAAAGTGTGCATTATACATGGCAAAACACGGTAAGTATCTGCTAAGGGTCAGGCATTATACTCAGGGCTGTGGGTTAAACAGTGAGCATACCACTTGAATTTCCTATCTTTGTGGGGTTGACATTCTATGGGCTTCAATGCTCAGCTAGCTTACAATGTATAATTCTGTGGGGAAACCTTATTGTAAGGCTCTTTCTTGCTGTGTATCCTGGGGACTCCTCAAAGTCATCTTGCTTTTCACCCTACCCTGATTTATTCCCACACCACTAGGGGTTTGCTGCCTTGAACAATGTAAGTCAGTTTTTCATTTGGTCACCATTTGTTTGTTTGGGACCAGCTGAAACAACTGTTGACACTTGGTAGCAGGGTGACCTGGTACGAGGATTTCTAGGTGCTGAGCTCTTAACATCCTGAGTGGCACACACAGCAGCAACTCCAGCATGAATGTCCCCAATGCATTATCTGTTGTGTTGATTTCCTTGAAGTTTTAATCAGGTTGTCTAGCTTCAGCTTGTAGGACTTTGGGAAGTGGACAGTTTTAGTCCCCAGCGTTAGGAGGCTGGGAAAAAAATGTGAAATGCTAATTTGGAGAGTTGTAGCCAGATATTGCAGGAAAGTAGAAGCATTGAGAATTCGGTAGGTACTGACAAATTGTGCAAGATGGCAGAATCCAGTCTAATTTACAGGTTGATAAAATAGAAAGTAAGATGTATTGGGTTGTCAGAAAAATCATGACGTATTTTTTTCTATGTTTTTCATTGCAAAAATGCATCATGACTTTTCCGACAACCCAATAGATCAAAGACAATTAATAGAACTAGAATCTAATGGCCCATAAAGACGTGCTATAGTTTTCCATTGAAATATAAGATATCTCCCACAAAATGTCATCCCCCCTTTTAATTCTTGTTTACAAAGTAAGTCTGGTCTCATTACATTTGACCTGATTATTTAACTACATGCAGCAAAAATGGTAATTGACTACATAGGCCTTTTTAAGTTTGCTCTGCTGGAACTTTCATAAGGAATCTCAGGTTTAAGTTTCCCTTGCTCCATTTGTTGAAAAGACTATCCTTTCCCCGTTGAATGGTCCTGGTACCCTTGCCAAAAATCATTTCACCATATATGGGGGATTTATTTCTGGTCTCTCTATTCTGTTCCATTAGCCTATGTCTTTTTTTTTATGCCAGTACCACACTGTTTTTCTTCCCCATAATTACAATTTAAAAAAAAATCTTGTGTTGAGAACTTTGAAGATCTACTCTCTTAGTGCCATATTGTTTTGATTACTGTAGCTTTGTCAAAGATAATTGCACCAAACAATTAAGGGGGTGATTTTATTCAGACTGTTGCAACAGGGAGAACCTTTATTAATGAGATATAGCTCATAGAAGAAGAAGGGAATTTGGGGTTTTATAGAAGTAGGTAAGCAAGGGAGTCATCATGAGTTTTATGTGAGTCACATGGAGGGATGGACATGTGCCTTACATGGGAGGGCAGGGTGGGTGGTCCATTGAAGTTAATTCTTTCTCAGGACACAAAGGGATGGGGAGAATTCTTAACCATTCCTGTTTCTTTGGAGCACAGGGTTCAGGTCAAGTTCAGCACTGTCACTATAGTTAAATAAATAAATTCCTTTTTTTGCCAGGACTTGAGTTAAAATATCCTGGATTTTGAGCCGAAAATAATTTGGTTGTTTCCCTACTTAGATATTTAAATAGGAAAAACCTGCTTTGGTTTAAATAGTTGCATTTCTTTTTTAGTCATGCTACAATTTATTTTTTCCAACCAAATAAACATATAACCAATTATGTACTCAAATTACTCTCTTCCTTCCAAAATAATACTTTGTATGTGACTCAGAAGACAGTTTTTTTATGTACTAAGGGAACATAATTATTAGGTTTACAGTTTAAAATTTGTTCCTAAAACCCTTTCTCCATTTTTATTGTTGAAACAATCTCACACATAATAATGTTTATATCCACACTATACAAGGCAAAGTTTCTAATTTTTTTCACATGATTCTGAATATTTTGCAGTTTCTTGAGGTTTTAGATGAACCATTCCTAGCAAGACTGCCTTAAATTTATACCCTCCTAAATATTAAAGTCCTATTTTTTTCTTATTCTTGAATCATTGAAACCACTTCTTACTATCGGAAGTAGCTGACTCTTTTTTTCCTATTAAAAACATACTTTCTAACTGCAGTCAGATTTTTTTGTTATAGCCCTGTCATTTAAATTGTTCTTGGATTTTGCCTCCTGTGTTATGAGGATTACTTTTGGGCTGATCTCTATTAGTTTTTTGATTTTCTTTTAGAGCAAAGTAGAACAGCTTGTGTCTTTGGGCATTTTTTACCCATTTTAAAAATTGAGGCACAACTAATGGACAGAGAAATAAACACAGATCTCAAATGTACATTTTTAATGGATACTTTTTAAAGACATTCATTCGTGCACTAAAGTACACAAATCTCAATGAATTTTCTCAAAGTGAACAAACCCATGTAACCAGTCAACTTTCTGTCTCTATAAATCTGCCTTTTCTGGACATTTCATGAAAATGGAATTTTCTGAAATGTGGTTTGTGGTGTCTGGCTTCTTTCACTCAGCATAATGTTTTTGAAATTAATCCATGATATACCTATGCATCAGTCATTCATCCATTTTTATTGCTAAATAGTATTCTGTTGAAGGAATATATCACATCTTCCATGCTTACGTTGATGAACATTTGAGCTATTTCTAGTTTTTGGCTGGTTTGAATAACACTGCTATGAATATTTGTGTCCAAGTCTTTGTGTGGACATACATTTTCATTTCCCTTAGGTACGTAACCAGGAGAGGAAGGGCTGGGCCATATAGTAAATTTATATTTAACTTTTTGACAAAGTTCAAAACTGGTGATAATTTTACATTAGCACCAGGAATGCATGAGGGTTCCTGTTTCTCCATGTCCTCACAACTTGTTTTTATTGTCTGTCTTATTTTTATTGTAGCTATCACAGAAAGTTTGAAATGGTATTTTATTAGAGTTTTTAATTTGCATTTCCCTACTGACTAATAGTGTTGAGCATTTTTTCATGTACTTATAAGCTGTTTGTTTATCTTGTTTTGTGAATGTCTATTCATATCTTTTGCCCATGTTCTGTTTGGGTGTTAGTCTTGTTATTATAGAGTTTTAAGGTTTCTTTCTAAATTCTCGCTTTAAATTCTTTATCCAATGTGTGTTTTTCAAATATTTTCTCCCAGTCTGTTGCTTGTTGTTGTTGTTGTTGTTGTTTTTATTTTCTTAATGGTGTGTTCTGAAGTGTAAACATGTTAAATATTGATGGAGTCTAATTTATCATTGTTTTCTCTCATTAACTGTGCTTTTGGTGTCATATCTAAGGATTCTCTGCCCAACTCAAGGTCTCAAAGATTTTCGCCTATGTTTTCTTGCAAAAAACCATCATTTTATCTCATACATTTAGGCCTTTCACCCATTTTGAGTTAAATTTTGTGTATGGCGTGAGCTGAGGATATCCAATTATCCCAGCAGCATTCCTTGAACAGACTTTATTTCCCCCATGAATTGTTTTGGCACGTTTGCCAAAAGTCAGTTAGCCATAAGTATAAGGATTGATTCTGGCCTCTTGGTTCTGCTCTACTCGTTTATGTCTATCCTAATGCCAGTTTTACACTATCTTGTAACTGATGCTTTTGAAGTGAGGAAGTGAAAATCTAAATTCTTTTTTTCTGCCTTTTCAAAATGGTTTTGCCTAGTGTAGCTAGTTTGAATTTACATTAAATTTAAGGTTGTTCTTGTCAA